TATATATATATATATATATATATATATATATATATATATATATATATAGACATGTAGACACCATCGCGGGAATAGTCAGGGAAGCTTCCTGGGACCGCAAAACGTCGACATCTGATGAAAACTCGATTTTCGAAAAACGGGGTAAAACCAATAACTTCCCAAATTTTGAAAATTTTTAATTTTCTAAGCAGGAAGTTAAAAAGTTAAATATTGAATTTCGATCCTCAAAAATTTCCCTCAGTTTATGATTAAAAATTATGTTGTTATGTAATTTTTAACATTGATAAACAATACAATAAAATCCTTAATTATACATACATACATACATACATACACGTCGATCTACTGCTCATGTAGCTGCGCCGATATACTGTACACTTTAGTCACAGGTATCAGAACTGTAAAACACGTTGTTGAATAGAGTCATAATATTTCAGTTGCTGCAGCAACATGTAAGTTGTCACCAAATAAATTTATACGTCATTTATATAAAATACTTTTTTCTTATTATTTATATTAACTTGCTCCCTGCCTTACTCCTACAGAATTAATCATTATTAATAATTACGTTTTAAAGTTTTTAAACAGCTCAATAACTTTTCTTCATTGATTATTTGTTTGCTAATGATAATTTAAAACATGCATTAGAATAGTGCTTCAGAACAAATAAGACGTGCATGCAGCAAATCTATGTTATAAACTATATAAGATGCTCGCGGATAAGTAGACCTAAAAATAATCGTTTCTCAATATCGATAGAGTAATAGTATATTACATGCCAAGAGCAGTAAAGTAAGATATGTCTCAGACCATATGTAATTATTAACCTAACATGTAATTATTAACCATATGGAATTATTATCAATAAACATATGATCTAAGACATTTCTTTCTTTCCTGCCCGAGGTGTGTAATATTAGGGTGCGCCAAAATGTAACTTCCTTGATAGACCTCTTAAAATTGGAATTTTGAGTTCCGCTTTTAACAGGAGTTGTGTATGGGCATTTCCTGACATATTTTAGGCGTAAAGAATTTATTTGATTTTTAAAGAATTTTTTATCAGGAGTTTCGTTTGGCCATTTTGGATGGAATTTAAAAATTTAAAAATTTAGCCGAACAAAACTCTTGTTAAAAAATTCTATAAAAATCAAATAAATCCTTTACGCTCAAAATATGTCAGGAAATGCCCAAACACAACTCCTGTTAAAAGCGGAACTCAAAATTCCAATGTTAGGAGGTCCATCAAGGAAGTTACATTTTGGCACACCCTAGTGTAATATACTATTACAAACACAGGGACAGCATTGTGAAAATAACCAGATAGCTTCTTCGAGAACAATTACTTTTAGTTTTGGGTTATTGGTAGAATAAAAAGTGAAAAAAAATAATTCTTTTGGTCGTAAATTGAAATAAAATTTCTAATAACTTATTAATATATAGATTTTTAGTTGTTTTGGGAATGAATATTCTCAAGTACACATAAAATTACAAATTTTTGAAAACAGTTCCGAACTGACAATTTGTTTGAAACATACCTCGTTATAACGTTCATATTGTTTTGTTTGAACATATGGTTCACATATTTTTTCAAGTAAATCAATGACTTCTTTTGGTTGTACATCAATTTTTTTATGATCTCTTAAGCGAAAATTGTCAAGACATGATTTTATATTAAACAAAACTCGATGTTGTATCGTCATGTTAATTGATAACACAAAAGGCCATAAATTGAAATCACGATAGTTAATTTCGATGAAATTCTTAAAATCTGAATTATTTTGTAAGAATTGATCAACCTTATTAATATCAGTTACATTTGCTAATGCCGGATATTTACGATTAATTTGCTGTATCATTCCTGTTGCATAACTATTGCCATGTTTTAAATATACATTAGTTGTGAGTCGATCAGATAAAAGATCAATCAAAATTGCGGTAATTTCATGAATTAATATTGTTTCGTCATCGGTGAACGGGATATTAAAACGGGAGAATAGAAGAAGAAAGATACGCATTACATAGGAAAGCATTTGCATTGGATATGTTAAACTAACTCGCTCAAGCATCGATTCATTGTAAGAAAGAAGATCATAAAGATACTGACTTGAAATTTTCAGCAAATCTGATAAAGGTAGATCACCAATTTTCAATTTAGCGATATTACTATATTGATAAATTATAGCCAATTGCTCTGGTGTAATTTCTTTTATTAAATCATTTAGAAGATTCAAGAAAATATTGAACATTTCTTTTAAATTATTATCTGCAGCAGCATCATCTGCTTGTAGTTTTAACTCTTCACTTATAGTCTGTAGTGCATCAGTTATCGATGAC